ACTGATGATGTCACTGACCTGAGGGTCTGATGTCATCCAGTCGCTCGTTGCTCACTGGTTAAATTCTAATTAACCATTCAGAATTTGTTTGTTTGCAGAAAATGAAAAGTTGTTGTTTGTTTCTGTCTGATGACTTAATTTAACCCTAACTTAATCCGATCAGGTTGGTTTTTTGCGTTTTAGCGTCTGACTGTCGATGATCTGTTTCCTCAATTTGTCCTGAGCTCAGAGAGACAGAGAGCCGGAGTTCAGCCAGTTTGACCCGTCAAACATTAGCTTCCTGCGACCCACCAGCTGCTCTGCTGCTGCTGTTTTCCTTTAAGGCCTTTGTTTTACGCTCCTCTGCCTCAGCATGAAGGGCTTTTTCTTTCCATTTTATCTTTCCCCTGCTGGGAGTTCAGTCATAACACGCCTGCTGTCCTTTGAGGCATTTCTTGACCTTTTAGTCTGGACACTTCCTCCTGCAGAGAAATTTGGGCTCTAACTGGAGATGAAAGGCATCCAAAAGCTTAAACTGCAGCTTTCTGACTGAACTCTGCAGGTGGAAGAGGCTCCTGTGGCTCCTGCTCGCTGTCAGCAGCTTAGAACGGTAAAAATGTCTTAAATTAGGTTTATTTACACTTAATTTGAGCAGGTGAATGAGATAGTTTGCCAATGCAATGAGTATTTTACTCTTAAAAAAAGATAATTAGATAATATGACCTTAAAATAAAACAATCAAACTGTGTTTTCTTATTTTAAGTGTAAATTATCTTGTTCCATTGGCAAACTGTCCCTTTTACCTCCTCAATCCAAGAACAAATGCACTTATTTTAAGAAAAAATGCCAGAATTTTGCTTTTGGAGACGATGAATCTATTTATAGAAAAAAGGTTCAGTCATTTCAGAAACATTCAGGTGGAAATAGGAAGAAATTCCCGGGTGTTCCTCAGAGTGGAACATCTTCAGGGTCAGGATGTGGAGGTTTGGTTCTGGAGCAGGTTCTGGGCTCCAGGTTCTGGCCTCCAGGTTCTGGAGCAGGTTCTGGGCTCCAGGTTCTGGCCTCAAAGGTTCTGGGCTCCAGGTTCTGGCCTCCAGGTTCTGGGCTCCAGGTTCAACCGGTTCATCTGGATCCTTCTGGATGTTTGGAGGTTCGATCTTCCTCCTCAGCTCCTGGTTTCTAGTTCAGCTCTAAATATTTTATGATTCCACACCAGCTGGTATTCAGAGCTTTCATCCAGTTTGACTTGTTCCAAAGAAAGAGAGCACTCCCATGATACTGCCACCACCGTGCTGAAACCTTTGTTCAGGAACTCTGGGTTTCATCAGAACAACAAGATGTCTGCTGAGCTTTTGAGTTGAAACTAAATGGTCTCTGAGGTTGAAATCGCTCCCTGGCTGCGGAATAAAGGAAAGATGGATTCACTTCTTCAGCTACATTTTAAATTCCTCTGTTGGAACTAAAGATGCAGATGGAGTCGCTTTGGGGGGAAAGGAAAATGTTTTATCCTCCTTTCTGACGTTTCTCTTTGTTCCAGGAGCACCTTGATTTACAGGAGAGAAAGATGAGCAGTAATTTCTGCTTCCTCAGCGGTGAGAGCAGAGAGGAGGACCTTTCTAATCTGCAGAGCGGAGAAATGATCCTGCTGGTTGGAGGAAATAGAAAAACAGTCAAACTCTTTTTAAAGCAAAGTTTGAGGAACATTATTTGTTTTTATACAAACATATTTTTACATTTAGCTGCTAAGCTGAACATCTGAGCTTCTGAGCTGCTTTGTGGTGGAATGACTGATTGAACCGATGGTCTATAATCTGAGGGATTGCTGTAGAATCTATATCTACCGTCTCTAGCTGCTCATCCAGGAGGAAAATCCTGCCGTCAATCTGCTGCTTTTCCTGAGATAGAACCTGAAGCTTTAATCCGACTGGATGATCTGGTTCATCTGGATCTATAATATGACCTGAGGTGACATGGTGTGAATTGTTATAGAAATAGACTGAATAGAACTGAAATATAAATGTTTCAGGTGGTTGGATCATGGGGGACGGGTGTCCAGGATGGAGACTCCAGCAGCCCTCGCCACCCCGCTTGGGATCAAGCGTGATGGAAAATTGATGGATGGATTATCGGGTCCTAAAGAGTTCTACCAGAATCTTTATTTTTTTCATTGCTCTTTCAAAGCGTCGTCATTTATTAATTTTACATGCATCTTGGATTATTATGGATTATTACGGATTATTTACCTGTGTTTTGCAGTGATGCTGTTTCAGGATAAATTGTAGTTTTTCTTCCTTTTTTGGGTCTTTGGTTCTTTTGTTTTTGGGGTGAACCTCTCTGAGGTCCGGCTGCAGGAACGGATCCTTGTTCTTCTTCCATGTTTGCCTTGAAGAATCTTTGAGCTTCAAACATGTTCTGACTTCTTTTATTGGAATTTTTGGATGACTTTAATGGTGGCAGAGTCCCGGTGGCCGGATGCAGTCACGCTCTTTCCTTTTGAAATGTTTTATTGTTGATTTTAATGATGTTAATGATTGAAAATCCAGGATATTTTATTAGTGATCTTCTCTGACTTTGTTTCTCTTCTCCGGCAGCCTGTGAGCTGATGAACCAGGGCATCCTGGCGTTGGTCACCTCCACAGGCTGCGCCTCGGCCAGCGCCCTGCAGTCCCTGACGGACGCCATGCACATCCCCCACCTGTACATCCAGAGGAACGGTGACGGCTCTCCCAGGACGGCCTGCCAGTTCAACCCCAGCCCCGGAGGGCAGCGCTACACGCTGGCAGCCCGGCCGCCCGTACGCCTCAACAATGTGATGCTGACGCTGGTGGAGGAGCTGCGCTGGCAGAAGTTCATCGTCTTCTACGACGTGGAGTACGGTGAGTGATCAGCGAGGCGGAAAATGCAAAGCTGACATTTTGGGAGCAGAATCTTTTTTAAGTCTTTACAGTTTTCTGATTTACTCTGATAATCTAATGAATTATTAATAATAGTGATTAGAAATCACACCTGCTGATCCGTCCTACTGATTCTCCCCTCTGGCTCATCATGTTTAAATAAAGAACATTATCAATAGAAGGGGTGTGACAGGCTGCCTATGGGGGGTGGGGGTGTGTGTGTGTGTGTGGGGGGGGATTGATGATGGCGGTTAAAGAAGAAGATCTGCACCTTCAATCAGCTCTGGGATTTTCCAGCTCCTTTTCCAAACTCCTCCTTTTCCAGTTAAATGTCTGATTTCTCCACTGTTAACTTCAGCTGTGCTAAAATCAGATGCATTCCAAGCTACAAGTTCTCCGTAATTTATTTACATAAACTTTGTATTAAACTCTGTAAATATTGGTTTTATTAATGTATGTCTTCAGCACATTTTTTAAAGATGGTATTTATTAGTATTTTTATTTTGAAATATTAGAATTTGTCAATGTGATTACATGATTTTAAACATTTAATCAGATCTTAAGAAGCAACTGTCACTCATAACTTCAGTAGCCATATTACTAATATTTCATGGGTGTCTACTTGGTGATGATGATGATGATGGTGATGATGATGATGATGGTGGTGATGATAAAGATGATGGTGGTGATGATGATGATGATGGTGATGATGATGATGATGGTGGTGATGATAAAGATGATGGTGGTGATGATGATGATGATGGTGATGATGATGATGATGGTGGTGAT